GGTGGGGCCAGGTTTCACAATGAGCTCACCCGAAACTCTGGCTGATTGTGAAGCTTAACAGATCATGACAGATTCAGATTGTGACCTACACCTATTTTCACACCTTGGCTCATGTGACTAGGTTGAAGATCATTAGGGGGTCCTTTGGCCCTCTTGGGGGAAACCCCCACAGGGTTTAAATCTGGGACTCTCCACCATTTGACCTTAGAACTGAAGAAACTACTTCAAGCAACTTAAAGAAGTCCAGACACTTTTCTTTCTAAGCCCCTTAGATCACATAAAAAGCTATTAAAACCCAACCTAAGTTTTGGGGGATTTTTAGACCTTTAAGAAATACTGTGGAATCTGATGGTACATGTTTTTATTATTAATGATCAGATAGGCATCACTTTTTAACAAGGCATGTTTGAATGTTCACTTCCTGGACTTATACCTCAGATAAAGTATCTTATATGAAGGTCATGAGTTTGCTGATAAAAGTGAGAATGGTTGTGCTTGTTTTATAACCCGAGGCATGCCTTCAGCTTCCATTAGAACTAATGTAAATTAGAAATATTTTTTTAGATTATATACATGAAAATTATTACTTAAAAAGCCCACAAGTTAAAAAACAAACAAAACAAAAACACAAAAACATGAACTTATTTCATTTCATTTTGCATAAATGGACTATGGTTTTTATTTATTTACTTATTTTAATAACTGTGAAGGAGAAATACACTCTTTTCAATTCCATTTGTTTTTAAAGTACCAAATCACAGCAATAGTCACCCGAGGCACTTTATATTTGTAATGTAAAGACCTAAAGTAATACACCGGAAACTCATTAAATTTCGCTTTTTTGTGAATCTCTAAATCAAGTACAGTGTGTAGTATTTAGTATTGAGTGTTTAGTCGTGTGTTTAGGAATCGTACATAGCTTACAGCTAGCCTGTGCTTTTCCTGTTAGCAGTGAGGTTATGTTTCCTAATTTGGAATATCAGAAAACATGACATTAGTTCTGTTAAATACAAGAAAAGGCAGACATGGGTCGTCATCACGAATTTTACTATGGTTATCTGCTCCCTCACTCCCACTGTTTGTCTCCATCAGATGAAGCTGAGTTGTGTCCTAATCCAGTTTATCATTCTTTGGGCCAGGGTGGCACTCAACCTGTTGGTAAGATTCATTGTGATATTACAGTATATTTCTGTTTGGGTAATAATGTGACAGAAACGCAATAAGTCATAACATTTAGTAAAATCTGCTGTCTCCCCTGGAAAAACCTAAGTCATCAGTAACACTCATCTTTCAACCCTTCATTATCTTTATAGCTGCTTTAATTTCTTCCTTACTAATCCGCTGTACTTGCTGATTCACTAACTCTCCTCGATCCCCCCCCCTCGCTCATGCTCTCTCATTTGCTAACCCCTTCCATTGAATTCTTACCTACACTTATTCATTCCGCCATTAAGTCTCATCGTCTTCTTTCGTCTGTCAACCAAACACTTTCTTGACCCTGACAGAACATGTTTCAGCACAGTCATTTTCATAATTTCACAAAACCATCCTTCTAACAAAAACGTTTACTTCCAAACACTGCAAATACATTACTATTTTGATGCTATCATAGTATTTCTACCACACTGTGGTGGCATCTGCTATCTTTTGTGCTGTGGTCTGCTGGAGTGGTGGAATGGCAGAGAGGGACATGGGGAAACTCAACAAACTGGTCAGAAGGGCCAGCTCTGTCCTGGACTGTCCGCTGAAGTTTATTGAGCAGGTTGGGGAGTAAAGGATGTTGTCTAAGCTGACATCCATCATGGACAACACCTCCCATCCCCTGCATGGAACTGTACGAGCACTGAGCAGCTTGTTCAGCAGTAGACTTTTATACCCACACTGTAGGAAGGAGCGCTACCGCAGGTCATTCTTACCAGCAGCTGTCAGACTGTATAACACAGCTTAACATTCTTTTGGCCAGCTTACTCATCAGCTGTTTAATTATTCTCTATACACTGTATATTTCATCCACCCCCCCCCCCCCCCCCCCCCCCCCCCCCCCACACACACACACACACACACACACACACACACACACACACACACACACACTCTCGTGTACATAGCCCTGTACATATTTTATTTGTTTGTGTTTCAGTTGCTTTTGTATATAGGACTACCTTGTGTCTTTTTTCTATTTTTTCTTTATTCCTTTCACTGTAACACCCACTATAACACTGTAACACCCAAATTTTCATTCGTAGGATAATAAAGGTTTATTCTATTCTAGTCTATCAATAGTATCACATTGTTGCTGGTTTTGCTACATAGGTATTGTTACATGTCTTGCCTCTGCTGATTACCACATCATATACATTTCAGTCTGACATTATTCAGCTAAAATCCAAAACTGTTATTTGAATTCCCTTAATAATGTTATAATTAGATATGTTGTAATTACATTGTTCTCCCTGTTTATTGCATCTATTATCACAATTTGAACAATGTTATTTCAGAGATATGATGAAAAGTGTTGCTGATAACTGTTTGAATTACATACAAATTTGTTAACCAACATATTCAATTCTATCTCTCTTCAAAGCAGAAACAGTGAAATCTGCTGTTGCATACAAACCTTCCCAAGATATCTACCAACCTGTGGCAGAGGAACCTTTCTATTCTACAATTAAAAAACATGCCCATCACTGAGTGAGACTGAAAACAAGGAAGTAACTTAGAAACATCCCGTATTGTTTATTGTGTATCATTTTGCAGTCAGTTAAAATCTGTGTATTGTGTATTCGTAAGTGCTTACTGTATTACAGGTCTCTGTATAATGATACGTAAAGAATTCACAATGATTAGAAATGTGAAAACAAATTTACTTCAGATTTGGTGTCAATTCACAAATGAATTGAATTAAATTGAGTTCCAAATGTTACAGGTGATTGCATTAGATAATAATAATAATCATCTGGACTTTATTTGTTTGAGCTTTCTTTCTCAGTTACAAATGAGGCCCAGTGGAGTAAAGGCATAAAAAAGAAATAGTCATGTTTCCAACCTTGTTAGCATGGTCCAACTATAAACATGGTTATGGATAAAATAATTCATGTATTGCTAATGATATATTTCACAAATCAGCTATTAATGTCATTATAACTTAATATAATGAATGAAGTACTATGATTTTATTCTGTGTGGATTTTTGTGCCCCCTGCATCCAAGTACTGTGTGTGTAGGTGTGTGTCTGTGTACTTCATGAGGACATAGCATTTGGTCTTCACAAAACAAAACCCTCCATCCTCATAATTTTGAAGTCATTTTTGAGGTTCAAGGCTCCCTTCGTTGACTTTCTGTCAATTTTAGGATACACTTTTTAAAGATTTAATTAATTAATTTTATGATCATGATTCTGAATGGGCTGACACCGCTGCATCAGTCTGACAATATTCATGGTCACACTCTTATCAGGTCATCCAATGAAATGATCCTAAATAATCCAAGATCTAGACTTAGAAAAAACTGACGTTAAAAACTGAGGTGGCCACTTCATGTTAGAACTGCCCAAACTGATTCTACAGTACTTTTAACTGTTTATTCTTTAGTCTTTGATTCAAGCTAAAGCGGCCTCACGGTGCAGAGATAGTCTCTCACTAAGAGAACCAAGGTTACACCGTAACCGTACGATCTCGTAATGTTTTTTCTTCTCATCATTATTATTATTATTTCTTTACTTGTTCAACATAGGTGTTATCCATGGACATGTAGTGTTTTATGTTATTTTCGTTTAATCATTAAATAAAGGAATTGAAAAATAAACAGGATCTTCTTTGTTTCAGATACAGTTTCTTTTTATATCATTCCAAACAGATTACAGTTCTTTGAATACAGTAACAGTAACATTTTATTGTGAAGGGGTCCTGCTGCAGCAAAATTAATAGGTCATCACCAGCAGGATCATCCTGCATCATTAAATATATTTGTACAATTGACAGTGGAGTGTACTGAGACTGAAGGAGGAAAAAGAAGCAACATTATCAACAACTCTGCCACTTGGACCTTTGCAGGAAGAACATTATTTTATGATTAACCCTAATAAAAGTTCATATTAATTAAATACCAAATGCAGACTTGATGTACTGAACTACTGATGTTCAAAGTGACTTTGCTCACTGAGGGTATGGCCAGATACCGCTGGTTTAAGAGCAGCATTAATGTACAGTCAGTTAGTCTTGACTATATATATTCAGTATCTGTGAATATTTCAGATACAGTGTAGAAGTGGATGATCTGATTGTTTACATCTATTTATTTCATCCAAAAAATTATAATTTTTTAGCTTAGTTCAAAAAATGAATCCAACAAATCCATCTGCTGAAATTGTGACTTAGTTATAACTATAGTGAACAGTATCATCACTGGTGTTACTGTAGTTACCCGTCTTGGTGTCTTTTTAACACAAGACGAATGTGGACTGTCCTCTAGATCCATGCTAGATCAGATGCTCTGAAAGCTAATGTTTAAAATCAAAAGCAAAAACAAAATAAGTAGTTTAGTTACTTTTTTTCCCTTGCCCTTCCTTTATGCCTCACAGTGAGCAGAGAGAGAACTGACTGATGACATAAGCAAGAGTGAAAACAATGAAGTCATCCAGGTTTATCCAGCTTGTACTTGAACAAGCTGTACAGTACGTTTTCATATCAGGTTTAGTGTGCATGTCTATAAATTGATATAGCTTGTGTGTATTCAGTTAGGTACAAGTGCAAGCCAGACCCATGTGGTTCTTAGTATATATAAAGTTTGAATACTAACAAAAGCACACGTTTGTTATTTAGATGTTTTTTTTTTACAAGTGTATAATTGCTGTTACAAGCAAGCTGCTCTCAAAGGCAGTTACTGTGGTTAACCCTTATCTTAAGGTGTTTTTAAACTGTTCTTTTTTTTCAAAACAGAAACACCAAGTTTGTGGTCAGCAGTCAAATATACCTGTGAAGCACGACTATGTGCATGTCTGTAACTGAAATGTGGTTGAAGTGAAAAAGTGGTGTGTTGTTTACGGCTGCGGCTACATCTATTCAATAAAGCCAAATAAAATAAGAAGCCTTTCTATATTTGTTGGATCAGACTGTATGAAAACAGAAGACAGGAGCTGAGTGGGTGTTAGTGATGTTATAATACAGAAGACAAGTGAGGTGGTGCGCAAATGGTGGTTATTTTTTGAATATAAAATCTGATTTGAAGCAGAGTGTTTACATCTTAAGGATGAATGCTGACTTCTGTTTCCTACAAAGACACACACACACACACATATCACTGATCACATCACATGCTCATAGAGACACACACATCAGATGTTCTCTGTTGCAGACACACATGACACATGTTCACATGTGAGTGTTTTATCTGTTGCATGATTAATGAGATGTTTGTGTGACCACAGAGTTAATAAAAGGCTGCAGGGGAGGCTGGCTCTTGGGAGTTGTCTGGGATCAGGTGAGGAGCTTGTAGCTCCAAGACTCTGGTCCTATCAGCTCCCCTTGCAAGTTAAAATGAATGGAGCTCTGTCTTGCTTTGTTCATGGGAATAAGTCTAAACCAGCGGGGCCTGCGAAACACAGACTTAACAGCCAGCATTCGGCTGACTCTCTCCCACTACACTTTCATTCAGAATTTAGTCTATCAGAAGTAGCAACAACAACATGAACACCACACAGAGCTCCGCAATGCTAAAGCTTTTTTTTTTTTTTAGATGTTTTGGTGGTGACGGGTAAACTGTTAAAGATCACAGATCAGTAGTTGAGAAAAAACCTTTGCTCTGCTCCCATCTAATGGTTGTTGGTGGTATTGCTATGCAAGGTGACCAGAAAAGTTATAAAACGGCATCTATAGTCTTAATAAATCTGCATACAAAACTGTGAAACTGTGAGTGTGTGTCTGTGGGCGTGTGGCAAAGTTTTATCTATTGACACTGTAATTTTCCAGCTCAAACTGTCCTCTGCAGCAAAGATAGGACTTGAGGAATGAAAGGAAAATATAAACATGTGTACTGTCCCCTTTTCAGATTTGGTAACAGGGCAGAGGTCATATCATACTGGATGCTCTGTGACTGTTTTTATCTTTAAATGAGTAATGCATGTTACTCATTTTACTAATTCATGAAAACACTATTTACACTACAAGTCAATAATTTGGACACACTTTCTCATTTAATGGTTTTTCTTTAATTTTAATACTTTCAACATTGTAGATACAAACCTAATATGTTAAGCTAGATATATGGAATTATGTAGCAAAGAAAAAAATTACACAACTCTAAATATGTCTCATAATGTAGATTCCTTAAAGTAGTCACTGTTTGCTTTGTTGACTGCATTGAAAACCCTTGACCTTCTCTCAATGAGCTTCATGATTTATTTACCTGCTTCACAGGTGTGCCTTTTCAGGGATCTTGTGTGGAATTTCTTGCCTTCTTAATGGGCTGGGACCACCATGTTGTGCAGAAGCCAGGTTGGCACACAGCTGACAGCCCTATCTGACAAATGAAATGGCCTGTATTTGTATAGCGCTTTAATTAATTAAATTAATTATTAATTAATTTAGTCCCTAAGGACCCCAAAGCGCTTTACACAACCGGTCATCCACCCATTCACACACTGGTGATGGCAAGCTACATTGTAGCCACAGCCACCCTGGGGCGCACTGACAGAGGCGAGGCTGCCGGACACTGGTGCCACCAGGTCCTCTGACCACCACCAGTAGGCAACGGTTGAAGTGTCTTGCAAAAGGACACAACGACCGAGACTGTCCAAGCAGGGGCTCGAACCGGCAACCTTCCGATTACAAGGCGAACTCCCAACTCTTGAGCCACGATCGCCATTATTATTATTATTATTGCCATATTATGAATTATGAATATATTTTATGACAAGAATCAATCAGCTAAGATGAGAGAAATGACAGTTCATCATTACTTTAAGAACTGAAGTTTAGGCAGTCTTAAAAATTGCTATTTTTAATTAATTTAATATTTCCTCAAGTGGAGTCGCAAAAACCATCAAGCATCATAACGACACTGGCTCACACAAGGACTGCCCCAGGAAAGGAAGACCAAGAGTCACCTTTGCTGCTTAGAATAAATTCATCAGTCACCAGCCTCAGCAAGCACAGGTTAAAAGCACCTGAGATTAGAGCCCAGATACAGTAAATGCCACACAGAGTTCCAGTAGCAGATACATCTGCTCTGTTCAGAGCAGACTGTGTCAATTAGACCTTTATGGTCAAATTGCTGCTAAAAAAATCACTACAAAGGAAAAGCAACAAGCAGAATTAAATTTTGTTGCCAAGAAACACAATTACAATGGAATTCTGTGCTTTGTCTGGTGAGTCCAAATGTGAGAAGTTTGGTTTCACCTGTCTTTGTAAATTGACTGGTTACATGACTTACTCTACTTGAACTTTCAAAGCACCATTTCCATCAAGAGTTGTTAACATACTGCATCACAGTATGGTGTGGCAGCTGCACTAAGGCAGATAGAGCAAGGCTTCAGAGTGTAGTCAAGGTAGCACAGGAGATCATCAGCTGCCCTCTCCCCTTCCTGATGAACATTTATTCCTCCCGTTGCCTCAGCAGAGCAGCAAACATCAAAGACAGCTCCCACCCTGGTTTTGACCTGTTCAACCTGCTTCCCTCGGGGAAGTGCTGCAGGTGTATCAGCACAAAGACCCATAGACTGGCAAATAGATTCTTCCCTGAACTCACACATACACCGACAACACAGTTCCGCAATTGATTTTCTGCTATTCAAGGACTTTGCTCTATACAGAGACAACTACTATCACCACAGTGCAATATTTAATTTATGTGCAATAATCCAGACTTTAAATATATAACCTGATTGGATATTTGTACATCTGCTATTTTTTGAGTACTTTTCATATTTTTTTTGTATATGTGTTGCAGAACTGTGCACCTCATCCCATTTATTTTCCCACATGTCTTCACTGATTAGGAGATGCTCTGTAGCTCATTGTACATGTGTATAGTGACAATACAATGCATTCTATTCTATTCTATACAGCATACCTCATTTACCGATGTACAACAGGACTTTTTTTTTAATGTTTAAGTGCTTACTATCCAACATTCACAGACATTAATACTCAAATTATTAGTATTAATTAGTATCTTATCAGAATATTTGGCATGCAGACTGGAACAGCCAGGGATCTCACTAACCCGAGCTACAACCACCAGTTATGATACTCCTATTGAGGCTGTTGCAATGTCACAAAATGAATCCGTCCAAGTAATGAGAATCCAAATGTCAGCTGATAATTGTCCAGTTACGTATTGTCAGATAGTATATTGAGTACAATTTATTCAAGTATTTAAGAAAACCTCCTTTTTTTATCTGCAGAAACTCTGCTAAAGCTACACTTTACTTTTACTTTTTTAAAATTTAAATGTTCCTTTTAGGATGATTTTGGCCATCAAACTTTGGCTGGTTTTTTTTTTGCGTGTCTGTTTGTTTTAGGACCATTTTCAAATGCCTGTTAATGTACTCTGTGCTGTGTTTGTGGACACACGTGTGACCTGTGACTTTGTGTTTCCAAATATATTTAACTTGCAATATGTATTTAAGAAAATCTGCAATGCTGGTTGATGGATAGTGGATTCAAAGGTGCTCAGTTTCAACCTCCTGTATATTGTCTTTAGGGTTATTGTTTAGTGTGTTTGGCTGTTAACAAAAGGATGGTGGTTTGAGCCCAACCAGGAATGATGTCATTACATTTTTGACACACTTCACTGC